GGGCGGGCGGGCGGCGCGCGCTGCTAGAGCGGCCCCCGCGAGCCTGCGGGGGCTGGAGAGGGATGCTCGGCTCCGGGGAGCGGCTTCGGCTGCGGGGAATCGGGGCCGGATAAAACTATAAATGCACCTGGTGTCAACCCCACCTGTGTCCGCGGTTGTTTCTTGGGGTGCTTTGGGGCCTGGCACTTGTGCCCCTGCTGCAGCTGATGCTGGTCCCGTCTCAACGGGCTCCACGGGTGCCCATGGTTGGGATTGCTCTGTTGGGATGGCAGGTATGGAGAGCCAAGAAGAAGGGAAAGGGAAGGGATGGGAAAAAGGGGAGAGGGCCGGGAGCATGGAAAGAGAGCAGGGCTGCTGCCCCCCACCCAGCACCCCCGGCCCCAGGTTCCGGCAGCAAAATGCGCTGGAAAAATGCAGGAAGGGAAGGCTTTGCGGATGGGAATTAGGGAAGAGCAGCAGCGTGAGCAGCTGCCGCATGACCGCGGCCGGAGAAAGCGGAGCCGCTGCCAGTCACAAGGACGGCAGCAGACGCCCCAGCCCCCCAAATACTCCATGGAACAGTTTAGCCCATGCAAACAGGGCCGGGGGGGCACGAAGGACAGGGGGGGTGGCAGGGGAAGTGGCGAGAGCCGCTTCCGCGGCGGGCGCAGAAAGGCGGCGCGGCTGGAAACGCGGCGGACATCGCGCCGGCTCGCGAGGTACCGAGCGCGGGGCTCCCAAACCTCCCTTGAAGTGGGGAAAAACAAGGCAAAACCAAAGCAAACCAAAAGAATCAGCGATTCAAAACAGTGGGGATGGGGGAAAGCCAAGAGCTGACTTGTTCTTTGGAGGGCGCTGACCTGGAGCACCCGCCCCGCTCGCTGCATCCTCCGGGTGCTCGGGGTCCCTGTCCCACGGGAGAAGCGTTTGGGGGGACACGGGCCCCGTGTGCAGCTGGGTGCTGGCGAGCAGATGCCCCGTGGGGATGCGGGTCGGGGCGGCCCCGGGGGAGCCGCAGCTCCCGTCGGGGAACTCGGCGCTCACATCCGGGGCCGGCTTTGCTAATGAGCGACGCAATTAACCCGGAACCGAGCGGCGGGGCCGGGCAGAGCCGCGCGCCGCCCCCGTCCCGCTCCGCTGCGCCGGGCCGGGTGCGGAGCGCGGGGTGAGGGACACGGGTGGGTCGGGTCGGGTCGGACCGAGTCGGGTTGGACCGGGTCGGGTCTGATCGGGTCGGGTCGGACCGGGTCGGGTTGGACCGAGTCGGACCGGGTCGGGTCTGATCGGGTCGGGTCGGACCGGGTCGGGTTGGACCGAGTCGGACCGGGTCGGGTCTGATCGGGTCGGGTCGGACCGAGTCGGGTTGGACCGGGTTGGACCGGGTCGGGTCTGATCGAGTCGAGTCGGACCGGGTCGGGTCGGGTCGGGTCTCCCCTTGCAGCGCTGCAGGCGGCAGCAGCACCATCCCCGGTGCCGGGCCGCCCCGTCCGGGCAGCAGCACCCGCCGCTTCCCCACGGGCCACGGGGGCTTCTCCGGGGAAGCAGGGAGGCTGCGGCCTCGGCACCGGCTCCCGCGGGGAGGCTGGAGCCGCCCGTGCCGCCCTGGGCTGCGCTGGGAGCATCCGAGCCAGTGAATGCGCCTTGGCGCTGCGGCAGGTCGGCTTTCCTGCCAGCTGGTCCCTCTCCATGTTAATGGTTTCCTAAAGGCCGGAGGGTGGAATTAGCAGGTGTCGCTGGCCGGGCTCTTCCCGCTCAGCCTCTGGCACTGGTCACCGGAGAGAGCCCTCGGGCAGGGCCGATCCCGGCAGCTTGCACCGCCAGACCAGGTAGAAGGAAGTAGCGCTGGTCGCGGCTGCGGAAACGGCCCGCGGCGCCCGGGAGCTGCAGCCCCGGGGCCCTGGCGCGGAGCAGCCTCCGGAGCGGCGCGGAGCCCGGCGGCTGCTCCAGGTGTGGCGCAGTGGGGAGGACGGGAGCGGGTGGCAGGGCCCTGTAGGACAAGCCTGGCTGCCGCGCTCCTCCGTGCTGCCTCCGCATCGGGCTCGCGCTTCCCGGCGCGACGCTGCGCGGAAGCGATCCTGACTCGGAGCGTGCCGAAGCACACCAAGAGCAAACGCTCGTGCAAAAGCAGGCTTCTTCCAGCAGCACGTGGGGCTGGAGATGCTATTTTGGGTATTTTTATTCCTTTCCTGGGGAAGGATGACACCGTCTGTGGCTACAGATTGACAGACTCGTGTCCTGCAGCTGAGGAGCGGTGGATTCCGGCAGCTCCCTGCGCTCCCCGGAGCCGCTTCCAGCGAGCCGGTGCTCGCCGAGGGTGACCCAGCTCCGGCGCGCGGGTCCGGGTCCGTCTCCGCAGGGGGATGCGAGGAGGAGCCCGGAATGCCTTACCTGGACCGCCACAACCGCATCTGTGGCTTTCTGGACATCGAGGAGAATGAGAGCTGCGGCAAGTTCCTGCGGCGCTACTTCATCCTGGACACGCAGGCCAACTGCCTCCGGTGGTACATGGACAACCCGCAGGTGGGAGCGCGCGCGGGCGCGCGGGAGGGAATGGGGAGCGGGATGGCGGGTGTTATCCATGCGCATGGAGTGGATCCCGCTCACAGAGCTCCCTTCTCCTGTGCCGCGACTCCCGAGCGGATCGTGTCCTGGTACGAGGATGGCGGTAGTGAGAGTAGAAAATGCCATCCTGGAACATACCGGTGGCAATGTCGCGCGGTGTCCCGCTCGGAGAGGGGAGCGGGATGCGAGATGGAGCAGCGCAGGGAAAGGGAACAGCCGGGAGCTGCTCCTGGTCCTTGAGCTCCTGCTGGATGCCTTGCAGAACCTGGCGATGGGAGCGGGAGCCGTGGGATCGCTGCAGCTCACCTACATCTCCAAGGTGAAGCCGGGAGCCCAGAGCACGAGCTTTGGGAACGCGTGGGGCTTTGGTCCAAATGGGAATTGCTGGATGGCCGCATGCGGCCGGGAGCTGCAGGCCTGGCCAGTGCCCACGGCTTTGACTCCCTGCAGCAAAAATGGCTTGAGAAAACGGATTTAAAGCGGATTATGGAATATGCTCGGGAACAGGGAGCCTGGCAGAGCACACAGGCCCCGAACTGTGGGGGCAAAACAACTGTGGGCAGAAATCCACGTTCGGGGGGCCCGTGAAAGCCGTTTGAAGTGCGCGGAGGCAGCGAGCGTCGCGGGGAGGAGCCGGGGCCGCTGCGCGCTTGGTGCTAGCTGGGCACGAGCCGCTTCCTGCGGCGGCGGGGAGCTCACGGGCGCCTGCAGGAGCACGGGGAGCTCATGGATTCCCGTATGAGCATGGGGAGCTCATGGGGTGGCTGCTCCTGTATGTGCACGGAGAGCTCAGGGGCTCCCCAATGTGCACAGGGAGCTCGAGGGGTGGCTGCTCCCGTATGCACACGGGGAGCTCTCAGGCGCCTGTATGAGCATGGGGAGCTCACGGGCTCCCCAGTGCACACGGGGAGCTCATGGGGTGGCTGCTCCCGTATGTGCACAGAGAGCTCACGGGCTCCCCAATGTGCATGGAGAGCTCATGGGGCGGCTGCTCCCGTCTGTGCACGGAGAGCTCACGGGCTCCCCAATGCGCATGGGGAGCTCGCAGGGCGGCTGCTCCTGTCTGTGCATGGAGAGCTCAGGGGCTCCCCAATGCGCACGGGGAGCTCGCAGGCGGCTGCTCCCGTATGTGCACGGAGAGCTCAGGGGCTCCCCAATGCGCACGGAGAGCTCAGGGGCTCCCCAATGCGCACGGAGAGCTCACGGGCTCCCCAATGCGCATGGGGAGCTCGCAGGGCGGCTGCTCCCGTCTGTGCACGGAGAGCTCAGGGGCTCCCCAATGCGCACGGGGAGCTCACAGGGCGGCTGCTCCCGTCTGTGCACGGAGAGCTCAGGGGCTCCCCAATGCGCACGGGGAGCTCACAGGGCGGCTGCTCCCGTCTGTGCACGGAGAGCTCAGGGGCTCCCCAATGCGCACGGGGAGCTCACAGGGCGGCTGCTCCCGTCTGTGCACGGAGAGCTCAGGGGCTCCCCAATGTGCATGGAGAGCTCAGGGGCTCCCCAATGCGCACGGGGAGCTCACGGGGCGGCTGCGCGCGGGCTCCTCTCTCACCGGCCCCGTCCCGCTGCGCTCTTGCAGGTCAGCGTGGCCACCCCCAAGCAGAAGCCCAAGACGCCGTTCTGCTTCGGTGAGCGTGGGGACACCGGAGGAGGGGACACCCGTGGCAGCAGGGGGGCAGCAAGCGTGCCACCCCCTTGCAAAAGGCAGATGCACAAGCTTGCGAGCTTAGACGATCTCCAGCTTCACGGTGTAAAACTCGCTGGATTGCGGTGGCCGTGCGGCTCCGGTATCCCCGGCGGAGCTGCGCGGCACCGCGGCCTGGCGCTCGCTTTGGTAACGCGGGGCTCCCTGCCTCTCTCTTTCGTCCTCTTCTCTGACAGTTATCAACGCTTTATCCCAGCGCTATTTCTTACAAGCCAGCGATGAAAAAGACCTGCAGGACTGGGTGGAGGCCCTGAACCGCGCCAGCAAGATCACGGTAGGTCGCAGTGTCCCGCTAGAGCTCCGTGTCCCCCTTGATCCCATTCCCCGCCCCAGCATTTGGGCTGGGAGAGCGGGGGCGATTCGGGGCGCCGCTCAGCGCCCCGTCCCGCTGGCGGGCAGGTGCCCAAGGGCGGCAGCGCGTTGCCGGCCGCCGAGCTGGCCAAGGCGCCGGCCCGCGCGCCGGAGCCGCAGCCGCGTGCCGCCTACAAGACGGAGATCGTGGGCGGCGTGGTGCTGCACACCCCCATCTGCGTGCCGCAGGTGAGCGGCGAAGCACCCCGGGGGGCACCCAAGGGCTCCCTGCGCCCGCCGGCCCGTGCTCCTTTCTCCTGCGGGGCCGGCTCTGCGCTCCCGAGCCCGGGCTCGGATGGGAAGGCAGCGCCATGTCCCGTTCCGCAGAACGGAGGCGACGGAGCGGCGGGCGGCGAGGCTGGCGCCCACCCGCTGCTGCGGCGCTCGCAGAGCTGCATCCCCACGTCGGCCGCGCGGCCGCCCGCCGGGCCCCCCGCGCTCAAGAGCGGCTACTGCGTGAAGCAGGGCAACGTGGTGAGGGCCCCGAGGACGGGCACGCTGCCAGGGCTCCTTCCCCGCGGAATGGGGCGCTGGGATGCGGGATGCTCGGGGATGTGGGATGCTCGGATGTGGGATGCTTGGGGATGCAGGATGCTCAGATGCAGGATGCTCAGGGATGCAGGAGGCTTGGGGATGCAGGATGCTCGGATGCGGGATGCTCGGGGATGCGGGATGCTTGGGGATGCGGGATGCTCGGGGATGCGGGATGCTCAGGGATGCAGGATGCTCGGGGATGCAGGATGCTCGGATGCGGGATGCTTGGGGATGCAGGATGCTTGGGGATGTGGGATGCTCAGGGATGCGGGATGCTCAGGGATGCAGGATGCTCGGGGATGCAGGATGCTCGGGGATGCGGGATGCTTGGGGATGCAGGATGCTCAGATGGGGGATCCTCAGGGATGGGGGATCCTCAGGGATGCGGGATCCTTGGGGATGCGGGATCCTTGGGGACGCGGGATGCTCGGGGATGCGGGATGCTTGGGGATGCAGGATGCTCAGATGGGGGATCCTCAGGGATGGGGGATCCTCGGGGATGCGGGATCCTTGGGGATGCGGGATCCTTGGGGATGCAGGATGCCCAGGGATGCGGGATGCTCGGGGATGCAGGATGCTGGGCACTCCAGTTGGTCCCTAGCGCACGGGGAGCGCCGGCGGGCAGCGCTCGAGGGCTTCCTCCCTCCTCTCCAGCGGAAGAGCTGGAAGCGCCGCTACTTCGTCCTCGACGAGTTTTCCATCAGCTACTTCAAGTGCGAGCAGGTAAGCGGGCGCCGCGGGGGGTGGCCGCGCTCCGGGCGCCGCGGCAGAGCCGCCGTCCCGCTCGTGTCCCCGCAGGACAAGGAGCCGCTGCGCTCCATCCTCCTCAAGGACGTCTGCAAGACCCACGAGTGCCTCGTCAAGTCCGGGTAATGCCGTGGGCGGATCCACGCGGATCGGGGTGGCAGGGCGGGAAGCGGGAGCCTGGGCCAAGCCTTCCACTTCGCTCCTTCCATTGATTCGATGATTCTCCCCGGCGCGGAGCTAAACGGGCTGTTTTGGTATCCCTTCCTTCCTCCCGCTGCCCCTAGGGACCTCCTGATGCGGGACAACCTCTTTGAGATCACCACGAGCTCCAGGACCTTCTACATCCAGGTGCGGGGCCGCGGCCGGCCCGTCGCCGGCTAACAGGAGCCGCGCTCGGCTAAGCGGCGCGTTCCCGGCGCGGCTTTCGCTTCCCCCCGCCGGCGCGTATTTATAGCGGCGTCTCGCAGGCCGACAGCCCCGAGGACATGCGCAGCTGGGTGCGGGCCATCGCGGCGGCCGCGCAGGCGCTCCGGAGCCGCCCGCGGGTACGTCCGCGCTCCTCTGCCCCGCGTGGAGCCGGCGCTTGGGTTGCGCGGGAGTTGGGAGCACCTCAGCCCGGCTGAGATGCTGGGGCTGTGTGCACTTGGGCAGTGGTGTCCCCCCAGGACAAGCTGGTCAAGCTCTGCATCAATGACGTGGACGGGGGCACACGGTGACCCTTGACGCTGAGCTTGCAGATGATCCCACACTGGGTGCAGTGGCCGATGCTCCGGAGGGCTGTGCGGCCATCCAGAGGGATCTGGACAGGCTGGAGAGCTGGCCAGAGAGGAACCTCATGAGGTTCAACCAGGACAAGCGCAGGGTGCTGCACCTGGGCAGGAATAACCCCAGGCACCAGTACAGATTAGGGGTTGACCTGCTGGAGAGCAGCTCCACAGAGAGGGTCCTTGGTTGACACCAAGTTAACCATTCTCCTTCTCTGGAGGTCATCACAACCTGCCTGGATGCAACAGGGTGCCCCGTGCTCCGGGTGTCCTTGCTGGAGCAGGGGGTTGGACTGGATGATCCCTAGAGGTCCCTTCCAACCTCAGCCCTTCTGGGATTCTGTGCTCCCTGCTTCCTCTGGGTTGGTTTGCTGCTCACTTGAAAAGTTTCCATAAAAACGGTGGAAAAGGGAGATCCTGGTGACTAATTATGGACAACCCCAATTTTTTTTTTTCAGTTTGCTTTGTTTCTTTATCCCCTTTGTGCAGAGCACGGGGGAGCCCGCACCGTGTGCGCAGCCCTTTGCGGCGCGCGTTGCAGAGCAGCTCGTGTCTTTGCAGGAGCTCTCCTTGGTGCGATCGGCGTGCACGGCCAAGCCCGGCGGCTCCGGCGCGCGCGGCGCCCGAGGAGCGCCCGAGGAGCGCCGGGCGCCGGGCACGCCGCCCTCGGCCTGGCAGCCGTGGRCGCCGGTGCCGCGGCGGGCGGGCGCCGAGGAGCCGCCGCCGGAGCCCACCTTGCCGGGCCCGGCGGGCACGCGCGCTCGCCACCGCTCCGAGCCGCAGCGCGCCCAGGACAGGCCCTTCGCCTTCGACCTGCACGACGAGAGCATCCGCAGCTCCGACGTGTGAGCCAGCCCGGGAACGCTGCTCTCCTCGGGGTTGGCACCAGCGTGCCCGGCGCTCTGCACCGACTTCATCCCGCCGCCTTCATGGGGACCAAAGCGGCTGCTTTCCTCCAGCGCCGCTCGCTCGCGTGGCGCGGGACTCAGACGGGCCTTTTGCTCGGTGTCCCCGCTCCTCCCGGAGCCAGCGGGATGCTCCACGGCCTTGGTGTCACCTGGCCGAACCGCAGTCCATTCAGGAATTCTGGAATTTCCCCAAAAAAAGCAAACCTGGAGGGAAGGGAGCAGCTGCATCTCCCCTGGGTGCTGCTCCCCAGCAGCCGGGGAGATACCCGTCGTGCTGCTGCATTCACCAAAACCATGGCAGCTTCAATAATATACTTTTTTTTTTCCAGACCAGCTCCTTACCCTGCCCAACTAATGGTATTTTTAAGAAATGTTTGCTTTTAATTAATTCCTTTTATATCTGCGCCCACCGCCTCACCTTAAACTCGGGCAGACTCCGCCTTTGGGAGCCCAGGCAAAGCTTGTCGGTACTTTTAAATGTGAGTCAAGGTTAGGATCACTAACCTAGTTACCTAACCAGTTAGGACTGCGGGTAACAGGGTTATTCTCAGGTATCTTCTCGGGTTTGCACTGCGTGCGCCTGGGCATCGCATTACTCACAGCAAATGTGGCTTCGTGTGATGGTGGAAATCACTGCAACTAGGAAAACAAGAGGGAATCCATGCAAATAGTAAAGGGGGAATGTTAATATTTGTTATTTAATTGTAGAAAACTCAGTTTTGCGGTTCCTTGTCCTTTTTTTTTTTTGCTTTGTTTGCACTAGTGTTTGGAATCTGTTTCTTTTGGCTGACCTGCTGCTTGGCTAGTAAAACATTTTGTTCTGGAAAAAAAACAACAAAAAAAGCAGTCTAACAAATTGCTACGACCGTGAAGTTCCAGCATTTAGTGATGCCAGCTCTGACCTCATTTCTGGAAAACATCAAGCACCCGGAGACTTGCCTCAGTCCGTGTCAGGCCTCAAAAACATGAAGTCCCGAGTAGTTTTGCTGCTTTTATGATTGCAAAGTTTCCTCGGGCCTGGGATGGTAAAGGCAGAGCCTGTTGCACAACTCGAGATTATTATCCAGGGGGAGATGCTCCGATGGCTTCGGTGCTGTCGCAATTTGTGATTTCCCTCCTTGCATCTTCTGGCTCATGTGTGAGCACGAGATGCCGATGAGTGAGGGTCTCCCGTGGCGTTTGCCGTGGGGGCTCCCTCCTTTTGCAGGCAGGAGTTTAGAGGTCGGGTAGTGTGTCTGGAAAGAAGGCTGGGAAAGATCTTCACCTTCTTTTAGGTGAAGCTCCCAAATGGTTTCAGGCTCTGTTTTAAGTGCTCGTGCGGTGCGGGGTACCTCGCTTGACTCCCGTCGTGGGATCCCCTGCATCCCTCTCGCAGCTGCGGGCTGCAGACAGAGGAAACTTGTGGGTTTTTTCAGCGTGTTTTTAAATAAAGAAGGAAATTCTAGCAGCTTTTCCAGACTGACTGTGGGCATCGTTTGCCTATAGAGCACCTATTTTGTAGAGGAAAGTGATACTTCGGAGAGCAAACCTTGTCTCCAAGGGCCTCCTCACAGCCCCAGGTCCACAATTCATCGCTGGGATGAATCCAGCTCCGTTTTTTGGAGCTGGGATAAATTGTTAACTTGACAGGGAAGGAAGCCTGGAAGATCGCGTTCCATTTGCCTAGGCAGCTCCCAGTGAGACTATTTGCAGCCAAGGGCATAAGCAGCATCCAAAGTGCAACAGGGATGGACTTTCCTGCCTCGTCGGGGACCCAAGCCCTTCTCCAGAAAGGCTGGGAAGCTCCGTGTGTGGAATCTGTGCCGAGCGCCGCCTGCCAGCACTGATGAGTGGCTGCATTCCTGTGAAATGCAGTGCAAATTTTTCTTTCATTAAACCATCTTTTGCAGAACTCTGGCCTGTAGGGATTCCACGACTTACAGAAAAAACAAGTCTAACACAAAAAAAAAGGTTCCTGATGCCTCTGCAGGGCGAATCCTGTGGTGATGGTTTCGAGAATGAGAAGGTAAAATTGGTAGGAAATGGAAAAATAGAAAGCGTAGCTTTCAAATGTTCATGGATCTGGGGCAGCTACAATGTTCCTAGTGCTTTGGGGTTTGGAAATCACAGCCCTAAAAATACAGGCTTGCAATGTTTTGCAAGGCCGGTTTTCGAGCTAAATTCCCCGATAAACGGAATCAGAATTCTACTTAAAATGAGCGGGCAGCCTCCTCCGAGGCGTCGTTTGGGGCTGCTCAGATGCATTTAGAATCTATTATAGTGCCTCCTCGTCAGGGTTTTTATTGCCTCTGCTGCAGACACTGCTAGAATAAGAATAAAGAACTGATGCCACCTTTTTCATTTCAATATTTAATTAATGCTTTCCATGGCATGGCCAGTTTGACCCCTCTGCCCAGGGAGATATTCTCTACAAGGAGCAGCGTGAAAATTCCTCCTCCCGAATTATTTTGGACGCTTTTTGCACATCCCAGCTGCTGCTGTGACGGCCAAGGCTCTGTTCCAACTTGAAACTAAAGCCTTCTTAACAGGGGGAGAAGTTAATGAAGACGGGCTTATGCATACAGGATTATTTTTTCTTTCTGACTTTTTGCCTTTTTTTTTCCTTCCCTCCATCATGGGCTTTCCAGCCCTGCTGTTCTCCTGGTCTAAAGAACATGGTGGGTTTATACAGTCGACTCCCCTTGGAGCAAATCAAAGCTGCCAAGTTCAGTTCGCTTATGACCTAAATGGGACACAAATCCCATTCCCCAGCCAGGAGCTGTTGTTGCAAGAAACCATAAACCAAAACTGGAACAAGCACAATTCCCTGACCGTTTTGAACCCCTTTGTAGTTGCGCTGAAGACAGAAGTAGAAGAAACCTAGGCAGAAATCGGCCAAATGCAACCCGGAGGGTCCCGAATTTGCAGAACTCGGTGGAATGGAAAGTGTGAGTTTGCCTGATTTCACATCAAACCCTACCAGACTTTTACACGTGCAGATTTGATGTCTGCTCCCGGGTGCGGGTGACTTGCTGGAGCTTCCCTTTCCTGTTCTTATTCAGCTCGCCGAGTTTCCAAGCTGCAGCTGGCAGGGCTTCCTCTTTTGCCAAGAGGTTGCTGGAAGCTCCGGCTCCTTTCGGCGCACGCTGGATTCCGCGCTCCGAGGACGTGGGATGTGGGAGCCGCTCTTCCCCGCTCCGACCCCCTTCCGAGCTCTTTGGCTCCCGTCCCTTCCCTGCAGCTTGTGGGTGGAACGAAGCCTAATGAGGCAAAGCTTCTATTTGGCACTTTTGTGCATTTGCCATCAATTAACTGGGACAGAAGCTTGCAAATCAGGACGAATCTTGTGGCTGACAGAAATATGTGCAGAATCCCTAACTCTTTAGGTGCCAAGTTGCTCCGTTTCACCTAAGAACACTATTAGCATCTGCAGAATCCCTAACTCTGGGTGCCCAGTTGCTCTGTTTCACCTAAGAACACTACTAGCATCTGCAACCTGCCTGACAGAGTAAAACACACACGTTTGTCACTGTTTTAAAGGATATGAATATTTAACAGCAGGGAAAAGCTATACAGCCCGTTGCTGCGGGCGTTCTGGTGAAATACCTTTCGAAAAGCAAATGTTATCTAAGCAAAGATCATCAAAATAGATTTTAAATGAAACTAAGGCTTGCATGATCAGGAATCTTGCAATTCCTGAGGATCAACTTACAGTTACTACTAACTTGAATGTAGACGGTCCAATTATAGTCGTAGGGAGTAGGTCACTGTGAAACTGCCACACTGTGGCCACAGAAAGAACTGGCTTTGGCTGTGCAGAAGTGAAAGATTTTCCCTCCTCTGTCACAAAGCGTCTGGTTTCACTGCAGTTCTGGTATGAGAAGACGCTGTAATTATTGCCATTAATGGGAAAGCAGTTGCTTCTGCTGAGGATGCAAGTGAAGCCATGAAGAAACAAGCAAGCAAACCCAAAAGAGTGTCTTTTCAGTTGTGGTTTGCCAAAGAAATGAAGATGCCTCTCGGCTGTAATTCCAAATGAAGAGTCTCCTTTTACTAGCACTGTTCGCTCAGCTAAATTGGGCTAGAGCTGAAGATTGCTTTGTAGCGTTGCCCACGTACAACTTGGGAACGGCTGCAGCGTCCGCGGATGATGCTTGAAAATCCCAAACAGGAATCAGAGCTTCTTTCACGGAGCCTGAACTGCAGCTGTATTCCCTGCACTGGGCCAGCCCAGCAAGACTCAAAATTTATGTTCTCCTAAAGGAAGCTGCCTCTGCTAAACTATCTAGTCCAGCTGTCCTGCTTGCAGTGAATATTGTCATAAGCCACTTGCAATTAGAGCTTATCATTTTGCCCCGAGGGCTCTGTAATACAGCTCAGTGATAGAACTGCAAGGGCTTTTTTAGTCTAGTAGCACAAAACCACAGGCCAGTGGCCTTCCTTCCCCCTCTAGCTGCATCTCTTATTTGGCTGCGTGTGCTCTAATACTGAGAGTAAGTGGAGCCACGTGCTTAAACCATTACAGGAGCTAAGTTCAGGAAGAGCTCTCTCTTTCCACACTTTTATTTTAAGATTTGTGATCGTAAGGCCGGATTTTTACAGCGTTACCCGCTGAAGGGGAAAACATCCCAGATTGTTTTGAACAAGATACACAGATATGCTCAACGTGGAAATGAAACCCAAGGTATATGCAGGAGAATCGGCTGGAAATTTGCTCTGCAAATTGACGCTCGCCTCTGAAAACCCCTGTCTGTACCTGGCAGCAGCACTGAGAGAAGCCTGCTCAGTGCTAAGGGCAGATGCCGAAGTCCGTCTCCAGTCCCGCGGAGCCGCTCCGGGCGTCCTCGGGGCCCATCCCGTCTCCCGGCGCCGAGCCTCGGCCCCTCTCAATACACCGTGCACCAGTTGCTGCCGTCGCTGGGCATGAGGCCGCCGGTGATGAGCAGGATGAGGTCCACGAACCACCAGATGCCGAGGCCGCCGAGCGTCAGCAGCTTCCCCACGGCCGTGCCCGTGTGGCCCAGGCAGAAGCGGTCGACGCCGAAGCAGCCCAGGAAAAACGAGTAGAGCAACGTGGTGATGAAGTAGTGCCCCGTGTACCTGCAAGCGGAGCACGGTCAGGGAGCCTCCTGCGCCATGGAAGGAGGCTGGTGGCGGGTGCAGGGTCCCGTTAATGGGGTGAAATGCTGGGAAAAAGGCTCTTATACATAAAGAGCCTGGTGGCGGGTGCAGGGCCTCGTTAATGGGGTGAAATGCTGGGAAAAAGGCTCTTTTACATAAAGAGCCTGGTGGCGGGTGCAGGGCCCCGTTAATGGGGTGAAATGCTGGGAAAAAGGCTCTTACACATAAAGAGCCTGGTGGCGGGTGCAGGGCCCCGTTAATGGGGTAAAATGCTGGGAAAAAGGCTCTTATACATAAAGAGCCTGGTGGCGGGTGCAGGGCCCCGTTAATGGGGTGAAATGCTGGGAAAAAGGCTCTTTTACATAAAGAGCCTGGTGGTGGGTATGGGGTTCCGTTAGTGGGGTGAAATGGTGGGGAAAGGGCTCTTATACATAAAAAGCCTGGTGGTGGGTGTGGGGTCCCATTAATTGGGTGAAATGATGGGGAACATGCTCTTGCACATAAAGAGCCTGGTGGTGGGTGCAGGGTCCCATTAATGGGGTGGGACTTGGGGAACAGGCTCTTACACATAAATAGTCTGGTGGTGGGTATGGGGTTCCATTAATGGGGTGAAACGGTGGGGAAAGGGCTCTTACACATAAAGAGCCCAGTGGTGGGTGCAGGGCCCTGTTAATGGGGTGAAATGCTGGAAAAAAGGCTCTTCTACATAAAGAGCCTGGTGGTGGGTGTGGGGTTCCGTTAATGGGGTGAAACGGTGGGGAAAGGGCTCTTCTACATAAAGAGCCCGGTAGTGGGTGCAGGGCCCCGTTAATGGGGTGGGATGTGGGGAATAGGCTCTTACACATAAAGAGCCCGGTGGTGGATGTGGGGTCCCATTAATGGGTTGAAATGCTGGGAAAAAGGTTCTTACACATGAAGAGCTCAATGGTGGGTGCGGGGCCCCGTTAATGGGGTGGGACGTGGGGAACAGGCTCTTACTTGAGGCAGGGCCGGCTGCCGCGCAGGAAGCTCCGCGGCTCGGCGCACTCGATGCCGTCCAGCGCCCGGCACTGCACCCGCGTGTGCTCCACGTCGCCGTAGGCCTGGCCGCCGAGCTGCGGGCACAGGGGGACGCTGAGCGGCGCGGGGGGACGCGGGCACCGGGTCGGCGCGTCCCGCCGCCCTCACCTTCACGCAGCCGTGGCCCAGCTCCTGCTGCGCCGTGGCGTTCCCGCCGTGGTCCACGGGATCCTCGCACTCCACGAACTCGTCGGGCCTGGGGGAAGGAGAGGGGAAGGGGCGAGGGATGAGGGGAAGGGGCGAGGGATGAGGGGAAGGGGTGTGGGACGGAAGGGGTGAGGGACGGAAGGGGTGAGGGACGAGGGACAAGACAGAAGGGAAGGGACACGGGACAAGGGAGAAGGAAGGGGCAAGGGAAGGAGCGAGGGAGAGGGACACGAGGGAAGGGAAGGGACACGGGGGAAGGGAAGGGACACAGGAAGGGACACGGGAAGGGAAAGGACACAGGAAGGGACACGAGGAAAGGGAAGGGACATGGGAAGGGACATGGGACACAGGAAGGGACACGGGGGAAGGGACACGGGGGAAGGGACACCGGGGAAGGGACACGGGAAGGGACCCGGGAAGCGACACGGGACACAGGAAGGGACACAGGGAAAGGGAAGGGACACGGGGGAAGGGACACGGGGGAAGGGACACGG